TTTGAGAAAGTGGATTTCAGAATACAAAGAGCATCAAAAGACAGAGAATTGTAAAGAGCCTCGACCTTAACGGATATGGCATATATACTGAATATGTAACAAAAGTTTGCTATTTATTGGGGTAGAAGGAGAATTCAGACCTTTCCCAAGATTATTTGCGCTTAAGTGAATTTAATGGATTTGACTGGAATTAGAACTCGGTTCTCCGATTCCTCAATCCAAGTCGCTATTTATTACTCCACCATGCCTCCCGAAACAAATTACGAAATAGTAAAACGAATGAAAATTTAGTTGAGCCACTGTATCTAGCGTGAATGATCTTGTGCGATCTCTATCTATAAAAGGCAGGATGTGTGTGTATGTGTGTGTGCGTGTGTGTAACGAATGCACGGCCGCAATTTTCGACGGATTTGCACCAAAATTTACATGCACATGCTCCAAGTTAGCGGGAAGGCCAAGACCAACGTTGCATTTCCCAACTTTCATCGATAGTTGAAATAATCTATTTTTTCATGCTTCTACGGCAGTTTTCATGTAGTTTGCGGCCATTATTTTCTACTGGCCAGAATGAGAGACTATAGCTGGCTGCCACGAATAGGCAGGAAGATTCTATTGGCCAGCATGAGAGCCAACAGCTGACTGACACGAATGTTAACTAGCATGCTAGCATGCAAAAAAATCGATAGCTACATTCGTCACAAGTGGGAAAAATTTAAATCTGCATGTCACTTTACTCCAATTAGCTCATTCTCTTGCTTAAACTCAACGTTGATTCTGATTCCGCAGAACTGGGCTGCGTGTGAAAAAGTATTTGTTGTTAACATTCTTTTTTCATTCAGTTTTTCCAGTTACGAGTCCTTTTTTTAAAGCTGATCGTTTTGTGTTCATTTTGTTTTGTTCTTTTTTAGTAACAGATTTAATGTTTAGTATAGAGCTTAGAAAAAATTCGCAGTGTGAGATAGGCAAGGAGTAAGGCATGTAGCAGCATCAGCACGGCAAAGGGCACTCCTTTAAAGGCAAGGAAAGGCAAACATATTTTAAGTCAAGTGATAGCGATTGCTGTATGAGTCGTACGATTTTTTAATCAAGCACGGGCAACGCCGGGCCATGCTGCTAGTCATCACTTAAAATTTAACTTTCAAATTGTAGCAATTTCGCAAGTTCATTTGTAAATTTCCTCTGCTGCTCCCCTACCCAAACAGTTCGAAATTTTAATCTTTTGTTTACTTTTCTTTCTTCCCTTTGTATTTACGTTATTTTAGTCGAAGTATAAATAATGAGTTCCGTTTTATTCCGTGCCATTTTCCTATTTTCCACAGTTTATTCTCGCATTATTTCCCTCTGTTGTACTAATCTTATTTACAAACACAGCAATTCCAGTTATGAAAAAAAAGAAGAAAAAATGACATTACCAAGAGATGATTCCATTACCTCAGTCTCCTAAAATTGTTCGGAACCTTACTGGCTAAAATATCCGCATTTGAAATTCTGGCCTCTACATCGATAAGGAGTTCGTAACTAATTTTACCCCAGGTCACCCATCTTTTGCATTAGTTATATATTGTGTGAAGTGGCGCTAACCAGAGCACCAGAAGTGTGGGCTTAGCGTGAAGTATATCAACGCCGAAAGCGGTGGCTTTCGCAAAATGTTTTTAAGGATGAAAGAAACTCAGAAAACTGTACGGAAAGGATAATAATAATAAAAAAAAGGTCAAGGAGACAGAAGATTACGATTGACGTCGAATTTAATTTATGGAAGATCGCAGTTGACAGGTAAACAAGAATCCGGAAGTGAGTCCAGCAGGCAAATAGTGTGAGAAAATAAATTATCAGATTAGAAATTATGGTTACATACAGAAATTCCAAAAGTAAAATAATGAGATCTAGCTAGCAATCTGTTGATACGCTTAAATCCACGTGTTTGATGTACCAAAGATGGACGCTCATTAAAGCAATAGCCATAAAAAAAAAGTAATAGGCAAGCTACGTTACGGCGGTAGGAAAGTGATTTAAGCTGAGATGCCAGCTCGGGACCAATAATATTGCAAATTCTTCTTCGGACTGTGTCAAGAATCTCTACATACATAGCTGGAGCATCAGATCAGATTGGGCAACAATATTCAATTCACGGTCAAACAGTAAACGTTTAAATGTTCAAGATGGATTCTGGCGAGATATATTGTCTAACACAAATACCCTTGGACAGGTATAAATACATCTTTCCTACAAAAAAAAAAAACCCAAAACAAAAACTAGCTAGAGTTTAAATACTAAAGCAGATTGTCCTTATTTGGTTTGGATGGAAACTGGTTTGAGAGTAGTAAAGTTCTGGACTCAACGTAGCAACTTCAACCCGTAAACTGTCCTGGGTATGACGATAAACTACATCCGGCAGCAAGTCCTCTGATTGGGAGGTTTTGACGTGAGTGGAACACACTGTTAATTTCTGTTGTTCTTAGGGTAACTCTGACCAGGTGTGGTATCACCTGTTTGGGTCCCAGTTCCGGGCAAATAGTGAAATCTCAAACAGGGGACAAAACACTATGAAAGAATCAATATAAAATGTTTATAGTAAAAATACCGGCAATACATTTTCATATTAAAATTTAGCAGAAGTACATTTTTGGAAAGAATAAAAATAATGTTATCAGCAATATGTTTTTGTAAAAAAAAAAAAAAAAAGAAGATATTACCAGTAATACGTTTTTGTAAAAAAAGTTACCACCAATAAATTTTTGTAAAAAAATATTACCAGCAATATATTTTTGTAAAGAAAATTATTATTGCTCTCAAGAAAATTAAATTTCGGCATTAAATGGCCCATAAGGAGTTGATGAGGAGGTACGGTGGAATAATGGATAGTGGCTTGGCTTGAGGAATCGGAGAGCCGAGTTCGAATTCCAGTCGAATCCATTACATTCACTTACGTGCTAATACCCTTGGGAAATGTGTGAATCCTCTTCTTCTCCCTCCAGCTATGGGTAAATAGCAGGACAGACTGGGTTCTATAGCCTTGGATGGCAACTGGTCTAGGAGAAGGAAAACTCTGAATTCAAAATCTGCGGAGGGTCGTTTGAGGACCTTGTGGCACGTAGTGCACCAGGTCTCTGTAATCGGACCTTCAAAAAGTGTGGATGGTCCTGCACGAAACCTTCACCACTATAATCAAATCTCATGTGCTATACATTCGGGTTGGGGACCGCTTGTGAATTCCAAATTCCCATGAAACTCCAATATTGGAGCCGGCTCAACACACCTCGGGTGGATGCCGTTACTGGTACAGAGTATAAGGAATTGATTTGCTGATAAACAAACAAACCATTTCAACCCACAAAAATATAATTGCTACTTAAAGGACAGCAAACAATAACTAAAGTGGTGAAGCCCTCTACTGCACTAGTAGGCTACATGGTTAATATACATAAAACGCTCATTTCCAAATGTCTGCAATAGCAATTTGCTAGTGTGGCTTGTGGTGAGTTAATGTTTAGCGAGCTTGTCTGATTGATCATTAGTAATGAGTTCGATCCTTAATGGGCAAATAATAACATTTTGATTCTTTTTAAATGCAATATCCCTTAAAGTCGTGTGGAAAGGTGTATACTATCTGTTATAGTGGAACACACCTATTCTATAGTTAATAGACTCTCCCACCTATAAGTAGGAGTAGTAAGGGTCGTTGAGTCAGTCGATGTCGGACGACAGTCGAACTCTCGGCCCGAAGGCAGAGAGGAACCCAGACGAGGCTATGCCGAACGGCAGAGTTTCTTCCGGGGAGGTAGACTGACTCGATCCCGTTTATGCGGGGCCTACGGGGACTTTTTGGCCGAGCCTACGAGCTCGGGAACCCCACAATAAATTCGGCCTTGTGCCACATGTGACTGCGTGGGGCAGTTACTAAATAGCGTCGATGTCGGACGACCGTTAGTATACTAAAGTATCAGCGACCACAACTAGATTACTATGCGTTATACCTATTATATCAAGTTCCTAACGTTATGTACGTCGAACCTGTTTTATGAGCAACTTAGTACAAATACAAGCCTCCACTGTGAAATCACTCCACAACATTATCCTTGAATAACAATCTGCTGGTCAGAACCCCGTATTGGTGGAATTTTGGTAATGATGGATTGCTTTTTAAGTTTGGATATTTATGTGCTGTCTCTTTTCAGGACACTGGCGAAAATTGCTTCGACTGTCTTTCTTATCTTTTTCGCAGCTTTGGTTTTCCTTCAAATTTCCTCGTTGCTCATATTTTTCGTCTATGGTATTCTCGGAATAATCTTGCCTCAAGTCTAGTTCCCGTGGATATTGTCCAGCAACCCGCTGCCATATAGGAAGATTTCTGATATCTTTTAAGGAACATAAAGAACAATGTTCGCCTTCCGTCAGCATTGTCGATGCTAACCTCTAGTGGATCAACTAACTGCGCTTTCCTGGGGTAAAAAAAAAATATTAAGACGGCTTGAAATTCAAATTCCTTAGCGATGCAATATAGCACTTAGTGACTATATTTTGGCCAATCAGTTGATATGCATCCGCCTGGCCAACTATCTCTCTTTCATGCTTCCTCCTCGAAACGATTTTACAAAGAAAGTAAAGCTTGATAAGAAGAAGATTATGTGTCTAAAGGAAGTAAAGACGACAAGAAACGCAACTCGTAGTCGGTCGTGGCTCTCCATACCATCTTTTTAATATCTGTCTATGAACATAAAATCTGGGAAAAATAGCAAATAGGTTTCTCATTGCCTTCTCCAATGTTTTCAATTCAGTGTTGTCCATCTCCTAGATTAGTCCAGTCCAACATTTTATTTACATACTCGGGTGTCGCGGAGATGTAAATAGATCCATTCCTTTCCAAAGGATTTTACTTTGAAGGGAACACAGCTACCTCTGCAGGAATTTGAACACTGTCTGCAGATTTCATTCCCCACAACCACCATCCAGTTTGTATGGATGTAGCTGCATTATCTCTGACACGTCTCTCGGTTTAACGTTGAAGCATCGGCCCGTCTGATCACCGAAGTTAAGCAACGTTGAATCTGGTCAGTACATAGTAGGGTGACCGCTTTGGAATACCAGGTGCTGTAAGTTTGGATGTGCGCTAGGTGTAATCGATAACGGCTCGGAATGAGAAATCTGGGAGCCGAGTTCGCTTCGAAAAGCAGTCAAGTTTGTTATCTTTTCTCACGCGCATCCACTCATCTTCTGTACATATAGTAGTAGTAAAATGATAATAATAATAATAATAATAATGGCGGTGGTGGTGCAAGTGTTGCTGGTAAGGCCATATGTCGAGATTTTTTTCTTACATTTGAATGAGGCAAATGTAATGAGTCCTTAACGGAAACTACAGAATGAACAATTCCTAACACTATGTATACTACGCCTCGCAAGAGAGCTTCTCGGCTTGACGGTCGAACTCTCTGCCTCTGTGCAGTGAGGAACCCGGACGAGGCTCCGCCGAAGGGCAGAGCCTCGTTCGGGGAGGTTGACCAACCCGATCCTGTTTATACGGGTTCTAAGGCCATTTTTTGGCCGAGCCTACGGGCTCGGGAAACCAAACGTTAAACTCGGCCTTGTGCCACATGCAACCTTCGTCGTGGGGTGGCTAGATACCGAATCGAGTCGAGCCGTTTCGGCTTGACGGTCGAACTCTCTGCCTCTGAGCAGAGAGGAACCCGGACGAGGCTCCGCCGAAGGGTAGAGTCTCGCTCGGGGAGGTTGACCAACCCGATTCTGTTTTTACAGTTTCTACGGGCATTTTTGGTCGAGCCTACGGGCTCGAAAAACCCACGTAAAACTCGGCCTTGTGACACATCTTTCCCTCGTGGTGGTGGTGGTGGGGGGGGAAGTAAATATCGAATCGAGTCGAGCCGATAGTAGTTCACTCCAAACCAGACTGACAGTCATACTATCACCTTCGACATCTTGTATTATTATTTCGTGTAATATACCTTCGTTATTTCTACTCTTGTGTTCGTGTTGTTCTTCCTTGGTCCTAACCTGGACCATAACAGCAACCAAGTTGATTTGGGAGTCACACCAAGACATTTGTCTATAACCTCAAGTGTGAGCGGACTGGGTTATCCGTGTTGAAGGTATTTCTTTGGCCCCAAAATCATTTGCTCGTTTTTTTTATGATCCTTATCAGGCTAAGTGTGAAGATGGGTACAATGGGATTCGTATATTTTTAGCCCAGTATCATTTTGTTGGAGAGGTTCTTAGCAGCAGCAGCAACAACAACAACAACAGTAATAATAATAATAATAATAATAATTGAGATATCCTTTCTTTTATGTTATGTCAGGCCAATTTACGAGTGCTAGCGGTACCATGTAAGCCAGTATAATCTACCGCATAGTGGATCCTTTCCAACTAAATCGGTTTCTCTAAGAGGCATTTATAGTGAGGAGGGTAACTTAACACCCACCAAGATTAAAAAAGGGACTGGTCATAGAGCGGATGAACCTTCCATACACCACAATGGATTTGTCTGGGCTCCATATCTATGCATGCCGTCAGTGTGTTGATGACGGCACTGATAGGCGGGGGACTTCCTAGACTGAAGTCACGCGGAGGATTGCTCCGATGGAAGCAGCGGCCACGTGTCAATAAAGCTAGCCTTTAAGATGAAGGTTATCGACCGTGGTTTGACCTGAAGAGGGATGGGCACCGCCAGGTATACTCGGCACGCTGCAGATGAATTTACACATGTCCTGCTTTCGATCCAAATATCTATTATGAACTGGTCCAGCGCGAATTTACGCAGAGATTGAAGATGATTATGATGATAGTGTTGTTTCTTACTGGCCTTGCCTTCTCCATTAATCCTCTACTTCCTCAACAGTATGATACCTAGTTTTCAACGTTTCCTTCGAATCGGCCATCTTACTTTACAATAATCCCTAGCACAGCGAAAAATGTTCGCAAATGTTAAAAGGTAAGTCGCGGTGTAAAGCTAAGCAAGTTTGTCTCGCCAGAACATTTACGACTGAGTAGTGAGTTCGATCCTCAATAGGTGCTCCATAGTCTCAGCCTTAAGTTACACTTAGAAAATCAGAATATTCGTTGAGCTTTCGCATAATATCTCATAAAGGAGCGTGTATAAATATACTGAAGAGGCATAACGATATACGACTGAATAGTTCTGGGAATTCGAATACACAGAACAATTTATTCATCTGTCTATATATTCTGCATTTCATAATTTTTAAACCACTTCTCCATTAAATAAAGAATATCACTTTCTATTGATTTCTATAAAACATATTTTGATGACTTAAATTCCTCGGTTACGACGTATATACGGCATATAAGCGTTTATTTGTCTACAAAATTCTTGGTTTAAATATGTCTTAAAGATATATCCAAATATATACAGTTGAAGATCGGTTATCTGACAACCGAGCAGCTTTATTTCGGATTATCTTAACAAGTGTCCCGTCAATATATAAATACGACTTTGTTTCGGCTACAAAACTGTTATTATATGATGGAGCTTATTGCTTTCTTGCTATACTCATATTTGTGAAGAAAAACGGAATAAAATGAAGGATTTCAAAGTAAGTAAGCTGTAGTCGTTTCCTCTTTAAATCTATGACTTTGTGTTATGGTCCGGTTCCTTGTACCCCGGGTGATAGTCCAAGGTAGAACCAATAAAGAAGAATTCGAATACGGGTATGGAATAACACAGATATATTACAAACAGGAATATATACAGAGAAGTATAAAAGGTGTTAGTACAAATAATCAGGTTTAGTAGTAATTGTCTGAACGCGACTCTGTTTCGGACTGCCTCTGACTTGACTGACTGACTCCTGACGGACTTCACTCCAGACGTCAGACTTCACTCCAGACTTCAGACTTCACTCCAGACTTCAGACTTCACTCCAGACCTTAGACGGATCTCCCTGCTTCCTCTTGAGGTGCAGTATTTATTACGTATGAAATAGTCCATTATGTTATTATGGGTAAGGTCCCATAACACTTTGTTTCGTAGCTTCTGATCACGTTTATCCCTTACGTTTATTGCCTAATTCAACGTGAGGAACAGAAAACAGCCTTTGAGCTCGATCTGACGCGGCCAATTTAAACGCATTAATAAAGAAATTGAAATAAAGGACTTAAAAAAGCATGGAAAAATCTAGACTGTTGTCTTTACTATGTTAACTCTTTGACTTTGTCCTGAGAATGTATCCGTGACGGAGTTTATTGTTTGACTCATTTCAAAGAACGTCAATTCGTCGATCAGCTTGATGTCAAACATCCAATTTAGTGATGAAATAATTATGTTAATAAAAAAATTAAAGTATTTAAAAGCGAATTTTGTCCACTGAAATCTCTAAGTATTGCAATCAGCTGGGAATTGGAGATATTGCAAAGGCAGAGATTAATGATTATGCAAATTTGGGCAGCGACGCCGGAACACAAACACTCTGGAAGGATCAGCTTATCTTTTAGTTTCAAGTAAACAGGTGGGGTTGATTTATTTATTTATTTTTTTAGAGAGAGAGAGAGAGAGAGAGAGATAAATAAATATTCGGGGGACTCAACAATAATTTAAAAGAAAAAAGAAAAATCATCTGATACCGTTTACTTGACAATGAAATTTATCGACGTAATAACAGAAGAATAAGAATGATTCACAGCTGCTGTAGATGACATCTTCTGCAGTCCCCATTAACGAAACTATTAAATGCTTGGTTCACTTTATGGAATGCTCTGAAGTAGAGTACCTAGACGACGTCATTAAATTAATGCATTATCGTCAAATGCTATCGATGCCTTAAACGAACAGAAGCCAGAGTGACTAAATTTCTTTCTGAAAATAGTGTCTTGTTAAACAATGATCGATCAAATTAAATTAAACTTTATTTACATGAAATGAATATCTTAGACGAATTCAATACTCCATTTCCATGTACGTAAATGCTTTTCGTTTCATATTTGCATCATCATTTAAGGTTCATATTTTACAAAAATAAATAATTACTAATTTTTAAACCTTTGAGCCCTCATCACCGCTTTACCGGTAGAGAAAAATAACGTAATGTCCAGTAATGTAATGAACAGTGGTAGGGAAAAATGGCTTAATTCCCAGCCACGAGTTGAATGATGGGTAAACACTTGTAACTATTTGTTGAAGCTTAAATAAGCATGGAATAATACAACACAAAATGTACGTTAACAAAATGTATTGAAACAAAGAATAGGTACACAATATTTACAGTTAGTTTGGTATATTCTTGGGAAGACTGTTCCTGCATAATGGGTTGACTAAATCGCAGTCGGGCAGAGTCTCTGGATTCAATTTCTTAATCTCTACTATCTTCCCCGTCTTCCGGTACCAACCCATATTTATATGGTCGGTAGTCCGCTTATGTAAATTAGGTGTATCATACACAACACTATTTTACACATTAAAACATTAAATACCAATTATTTATGAGTTTTGACTCAGGACCTCAGGCAGAAGTGTTAACATTGTTCAGGAACGCAGAGATTAAAGGGTTAAGCTTTATCCTCTTTTTGTTTATTGAATCAAAGAAAACTATTTAAAGTTTTTTCACGCCTTCAGTACAGCTCAATTTTATGAATGGATTCGTTATAAGAACAATTAATTATACAAGCAAAATACTACAATTCCGCCTCATTCAGTTTAGTGACACTCAACTGTACATGTCATCTCACTTTTGAACTTCTATATGCCTTTGAAAGATATAGAAGCAGTTATCAATACCGTATTGAAAATGTTTTAATTGGCAACTCTAGAAAACATAATATCACACATTTGTTTGAGTGAATTTTGTGAGCATTACATTGTTGCAGTTTTTTGTGTATATATGTAACTAGTGAGCTAGCCCAAATGAATTGACTCACTTTATAGTCCACCAGTAGAAGGTTAACCGATCAGAAGACATAGAATATTCAATCCGTCGTGTATAAAGGCGGCCATTTTGTTTACCCTACCCGAATGTCCAGTTCCAGCTTGTCAGGCGAAGAGAAACAGAAGGACGAACTACGCTCTGCTACTTTTACCGGGATATCCACTGCTAACCTGAAATACGCTTCCCTAATGTCTTCTAAAT